TAGGCAGCATGCCAGCTCCCCCCTTCTTGGGGCCTCACCATATTGAGGCCAGACACTGTGGACTCCTGATTGACTTCAGTCCTACTTGCTGCTCCAAACTCTGGAACTCAAGCAATCCACTAGCCTCAGTCTCCCTTAGTAACAGGGATAGGTTTGTGCTACCATGCCCAGCCTGGACTGATTTTGATCTTTGCTACCAGCCTCTTTTTGGTTTATCTGCCCAAAGTTTCTGGGAAATCTCAAAATAGAGGCTGAATAAAATTCAAGTCTAAATCCTTACAGATATGGATTAAAAGGTCTTAGTTCCTGAACAAGTATTCATATTCATAAAAAATAACACATACAATATATATACACATATATTAGTATGTTATATATATATGTATGTACACACACATATATACAATATGTATGTAAGCATTTAGGTATATAAGTATGTGTATATATGCATATGTGAAAATATGCTATATTTGTGTATATGTACGTATGTACATCTACACATCTATACACACATCCATCCATCCATTTATATGTCTAGTCTACATATGTATAGTGTATGTGTGTGTGAGTAGTTAGAGAGCCTTTATTTCATCCTATAGAAAATATACAGAAAAGACAAAGAATTCCCAAGAGTCCATAAACAATGTAGAGAATATATAAAGGTATTAAGGTAACCTATAAGCAATCAGTACAATTCTCTTTCCCCTCTGCAGAGCCCCACTTTTTCCTGGGGCACTAGAGTTCCTTTCATTCATAGTATGTCCTTCTTCTTCTGAGAAGGGAAAACAATCCTGAAGCTGCTAAAGGAACAACTCTGAACATTACAGTGCCTACGAGGGGAGAAGGGAGAATAAGCATTTATATATCTCCTACTATGTACCAGGCACTGTGCTAAGCACTTTTTACAAATGCTATCTCATTTGATTTTTACAAGTAGAAGTAGAGGCTATTATTATTTCCATTTTACAGTTGAGAAAACTGAGACAAACATTGGCTAAGTGACACAGCTGGCAAGTGCCTGAGGCTGCATTTGAACTCAGGACTTCTTGACTCTAGGCCTAGTGTCCTATCCACTGTGCCTATAGCTGAGGTAGCCATTTTCATTGGAGTTGCACACAGGTACCTAGTCTTTTGAGATCACTTTGAGGGTTTGAACTTCCCTGGGGAGAAAAGAACAGATAAATCCTTGATATTCTGATTAGCTCACTTTTTCTCAGAGATTCATGTAGGCATCTAGCCTTATGGTGCCATCCTGAAGGCTCGGACTCTCCTGGAATGAAAACTAAATTGATGTTGCAAGAGAGGCAACTCTGGATGTCGGCTGCCAGAATAACTCATGGTAATAAAGGGTAAAGTCCAAGCCTTTTGCTCCCTAATAATGAATTCCCCTGATGCTCGTCAAGTTCCAGAAATCACACGTGATAGCCTTTCCCTCCTTCAAAAGGCTAGATCTGCCTGGAAAACAGGGTCCATAGAGCTCTTCAATTTAAAAACCTGACTATGATGCTGGCTAGCAACACATAGATAGAATAATTATCAACAGTTAGAGCTATTATTAAATGTTTATTCTACCATAGGTATGATATGGCCAGGGTTCTTGAACACTTTAAGTTACAGGAATGTTGTCATTTTTCATGGAAAGGAGGGAAGAAGTTTCTACACCTTGAGTTCTCCATATTGATGAAATCATAGGTCTGAATTAAAAAAAAATACCCCAAACCAAACTGTCAAAGCAAAACAAAACAAATATATTTACCTGCATACACACATACTCAGTCAATGAGCTTCCCATCTCACTGTATATGATCAACTGGGCCTTGTGTGATTTTCGCTCATTTTATTTTTGTATTGTGGATATTTAGGCCCACCTATTTCAAGTGTTATACAATGAGCAAAATGTCATTTGTAAATAGAAGTATTCAGAGAACTGTGCCATCAGTAGGGAAGAACCCTGACTCTATGGCTGTAGGAATTCTCTACAACACTAGCAAGTTTTAGATGAGTTTATGCAAAATATGCCTTGGGCCTTATTTGATATCAATAATCAAAAAGTCATTCCTGGAGGTACATCGGTTGTAGACTCATATTCTGTTCTCAAGAGTGCAAGAGAAACTTTGTTTGAGGAGAGGCTTTAAGAAAAAGAGAAATATTATTCTAAAGGGTCCAATTCTTTTTTTTTTAATATCCACAAATAATAAACATAGTGAGATCTAAGAGCCTCTAAACCTCTAGATCAATTTTATCACTAGAAAGAAGCTGATGATAAAAAAAAAATTGACAAAATCCTGCTTGTTCTCTTTTTCTGTTTTTAATTAATTTAATTCAACATATTCATAGACCATTTTCATAAAAATTCTCTATAGGGGGCAGCTAGGTAGTACAGTGGATAGAGCACTGGAGTCAGGAGGACCTGGGTTTAAATCTGGCCTCAGGCACATAACATTCACTAGCTGTGTGACTCTGGGCAAGTCACTTAACCCCAACTGACTCACCAAAAAAAAAAATTCTCTATAGGTGGCTTATGTAGTAGTGGCTGATGTCTTCTTTGTTACCTTTTATTTTTAGTTTTTAGGATCATACCTTGTATGATCTTTTCCTTTCTTTTGGAATCTTTTCCAATTTTTTTTTATATCTTTAAAATAATGACTTCATATTTATGTGGAACTTGAAGAGTTCAAAGTGATTTGCATATATTAACTTGTTTTACCTTTACAACAACTCTGTAAGGTAACTGCTATAGCTATTACTATCCCCATATAACAAAGAAGGAAACTGAGGCTGAGAAAGTTCAAATGATTTGCCCACAGCTGCATAGGTAGTAAGTGTCTGGGGTGATATTCGAACCCATGCCTTCCAGACTTGAAGTCACTAGCCATTTTGCCAGGAAACCTTGAAAACAGATTCCCTGGAAAGACCTTAAAAGGAATGCCTTTAGTGCTTCCTAAATCAAAGAATTCTTCTTGGTATATCATAGAAATACAAAATGTTAGACTTGAAAAGTACCTTAGAGATCATGCTGTTATGAGGAAATTGAGAAACAGAGATGGAGATCTATTTGCCCAATGTCATACAGCTAGTAAGTAGCTAGCACTCAAGATCTTTTGACTCCAAACTCAATTGTTGATGTTGTTGTTTAATCTGGCAACACTATAAATCTGGCCATTCTTTCTGATTTTATCTTCTTGAGCATCACTGTCACCTGCTCAAATGAATTACTGAGGTTGTGTACTTTAAATTATATTGTTCTACTACCATTGTTGCAGAAAAAAAAAAAGTCAGTACAGAAAAATTGAAAGACTTGTTCCATTGCACGTTTCTTGTCCTCCTGTTTTCATCTATAAATGATTTTTAGGATGATTTGGCTTAGCTGAGTTTCATATCAAACTCTCTGTAGGCTTAATTTCTCAACTAGTCTCTCCCACCCCCTTTAAAGCGATTTTGCTTGTATTGGCATCATCCATTATGTTTTTTTTTTAAGAGAATGTGTATTCTAAACTAGTGTTGTCTTTTTTATGTCTCTGAATGGCAACAAGACTAAGTATGTGTTTGTTTTATGAAATCATTTTAGGCCCTTTCAGGCCACTTATTGGGGTGACTATTTTTCATTAGTTAAGCTCGTCTAAGAAATGATTTCATTTACAGTAAGTATATCAATGGAGATGTGGTTCAATTACTCTTACAGTATATTAAAGATTGTGAATTAAGATTCAAAAAAGTTAAATAAGCATTTGGAGACTAAGCGCTGTCTGATTCTGAAATCCCTCTTCTCCCCCCAACCTCATTATGGAAGTAGAAGGGGATTTTTAAAAATTGAGGGATTTTTTTAATGGTCCATTTCATGAGGAGCCTTGACCAAAAAATGTTATCTGGAGGCTGACTTATTGGTGATGAATCTCTACATAGCTAACTTTTGCAGAAGAAAAAATCTGTCATCCAGATCATTGGATCACAGCTGAAGCCTTTTTAGCTTGAGAGACCCCACCAGAGCTTTTTTCCCAGTGGTATAAGAACTCAGAATTTTTTATCCCCCACCATGATGAAGGATTAATGTAGAACTTCTGATATAAATTATTGATTTAACTTGACTTGAGAACTTCTTTAGCCAAAAGGGGTGAGGAATTCTTCGGTGTTCTTATTCTTTTAGAATAATGGAAATGAGAACTGGAAAACAACAGTAAATATTCATATCAATATTGATGAGATTCCTTATCTTATTAGTTAAGTTTCCATGACTCCCAGCTAATGCAGGTCCCAAGATTGGAGGCCTATCTGAAACAGCAAATCACCCTGAGGCAAAAACAGGAGGCAGCATTTGCCAGACAAGTCAAAATACTTCTTTCAGATCTTGGTAGAGAGAGCCCAAGACTTTGAGCCCCAGAGTTTCGGTAATAGCAGTGCCCTCTTCTTCCCTGCTTCTAGTTTGGCCCTCACAGTTATTATCAAGGAGAGCAAACATTGTGGAGAAGGGGACTGCCATTCCCACTATCTCTATCTCTAGCTTGGGCCAGCTGCCACCAATGTGCAGGTAAACCCAAGAACTCTGGGAATAGCAGTACGTCCTTAAACCAAGGACCTTGTTTCTGGCTCATTTAATGGTTCAATATCAGAAACCACTATGATTTTATCAATGGAAATGACATTTAAGAAGATGCATTGCCATCTTGGTCTTTGTATTTGACTTGCAACTGAAACTTTCTGTATGTGTTGTTTTCCTGTATTAGAAGGTGAACTTCCTGAGAGCAGGAATTGCTTTGGTTTTCTCTTTGTATTCCTAGCACTTAGCACAGTGCTTTGAACATTGTAAACATGTAGCATAATTTTTCATTTTCTTTCCTTCCTTCCTTCCTTCCTTCCTTCCTCTCCCCCTGTTCCTCTCTCCCAGTCCCTCTCTCCCTCTCTCTCTTATTGTCTTTGTCACTGTCTCTCTCCTGTCTCTGTCTCTCTATCTCTGTCTCTCTCTTCCTTTCTTGCTTTCTCTTTTTTCCATTAGCCCCTCATACCTGTTTTTACTGTCTGCCAGCCAAGGGAAAAAGGACTTCGAGCTTGCAGATTGTAGGAAGAAATGGGGCTGTGGTTGTCCGCAGCAGGACTCCAGGACAGGGTGGCTGTGCTCTCTGTAATCTCTTCAACGATCACAATGCCAGGAGGACCTGGAGGACCTATAGGCAAACAGCAAGAAATACAGTTCTAGGGGAATATAGCTTTAGGGAAATAATTTTGTGAACCTTAATTGAGTCATCATGACAAAGAAATGCATTTCCAATAAGGGCCTGATCAAAGTATATAATCATCTTAATGAAATACATATTTAATAACCAAAATTGACAGTACAAGTCATGGGATACAGTTGGTGTTCATGATTTCTAGGGTAAATTAATTATAGATTTGATTTGGTTTCTCACAGTATACTTTGAGGCAAGTACCAATTAACATCACATTTCACAGTGAAAGAAAAAGAATGAGAAGCAAAGCTTAGGAAATAAATGCCAATATTGACTAAAGCTGTTGAGGGAGCTCACAGTTTACAGAATCAGCAGTTAAAGGTGATTGAGGCAAAGCACTTAGGAATAAAAACAATTCTGGGTTTCATTAAGACATTGTCAACACATGGCACATGAAGTGTTATGGCTAGAGGACTGAACTTGGGATAATGCCTATGAATGGGGATTTGCTATTAGTCAATTCATTATTTAGGATCTAGACATGTATTAGCTTAAGGAAAACCATGGCCCTTACTGAAAACTTATTTTGGGAAAATATCCAAGGGGTTGGGTTTCTTTTGTGAAAGCTAAGAATAGAATTCTTATATGGCTTGCTATGGTTTTAATCTGGGAACTAGTTTTAAACTAGCAACTCATCTGTAACTTGTCAGTTGCCAAGGGATTAAATAACTTGCCTAGGGTCACATAGCAGGATTTGAACTAAGCCCTTCCTGGATCCAATCTTCACCTCTTCAATCATGATAATGGCTCCCTGTTAGCAATTCATATATGCTTGTGATCATCAAGCACTTTGAGCTTACTAATCATAGAAATGATAATAATAGAAACCTTTTTGAAACAAAAGAATAGAGGTGATAACCACAGCACAAACATGACTCTAATGAATGAATTTACAAACCAGTTGGAATTTAGTTCTTAGCTGAGATCTCTACCTAATACTGATTTATGTATGCAAACCTTTTGAGATAGCTAGAGTATCTTCCGGCTATGACATGATGCTTGGCAGTTTTTCCTTAAAAATAATGCTTTGGTGGTTCCAGAGAAAGTGTGATGAAGCACATCTCTGGCAGAGGGTGACTATGGGTGCAAGATGGTACATATACTGACAGATAGGATTGTTTCATGAGTTGCCTTTGCAACTCACTATTATTCTTTGTTGTAAAGGAGGATTCATTGTGTGAGTGTGTATGTGTGTGTGTATTATATTGGGAAATTACTGGCACAAAAAATCAAAAGCTACCAATAACACTAAAATAATATGATACTTTGAAACATAGGTATTTGTTCTAAAATTAATAATTACTTTCAATATAAAGAAAATGTAAAATGATAATATATCTGAAATGACTGATTGCAGTTAAGCTTGCAACATGCATTCAGATTGGATTTTAGAAGGTCAAGTCTCACTGAGGATAATACAGTCATTTCCTTTCATGAATATAACTTTTTGAATGTATCATCACTGATTTTCTTCTGTGATACAATAGTATTACTACTAACAGAAATTTACTTCAAGGATCTGTAATTATTTTCTCCAACATAGGTGCTCCCTCCCTCCCCCACTTTAGTAAATTATATTCACAAGTTTCTATGGCCCAAAGAAATTTATCACTTGGTGGAAGAAAGGAAAGAAGGAAAAAAAGAAGGAAGGAAACAAACAAAAATTTATTGTGCACCTACTATGTGCCAGACATTGAGCTGTTTTACAAATATTACCTCATTTGATTCTCACAAAAACTCTGCAAAGTAGGTGCTGTTATTATCCCCATTCTACAGTTGAGGAAACAGAGGCAGAGGGTAAGCCCAGGGTCACGCAGATAGTAAATGTGTGAGACTGGATTTGAAATCAAGTCTTCTTGACTCTAGGCCCATCCCTCCCAACCTCCCTTTATCTCTTCTTTCTTTCTCCTTCCTTTTTTTTTTCAGTAGGTGGGGGTAAGGGGGAGGGAGAAAAATAAATGTTTGGTCAATGAAAAAAATAGAAATTTTAAGAGTTTAAAATGCAATGGATGGATTTAAAAAATATATTACAAATCTCAAGGGTTTCCCATGAACAGTTTATGAGAAAAAAAAAATTCTGGACAATGTCAAGGTTTATCGAATGTTGCACCATTACTCAAAAAATAGAAAAAAGACCCAGCATGTTGGCTAGATCTTTTGTGGAAAATCTCTAGGAAAACATGGATGTAAATTGTACAAAATGATAAAAGTTGGGATCTGCACCAATGGAAAGCCAATCCATATCAGTGAGACGATGTATCTAGTGAAACACTGAACTAAATTGTACCGGCCGCGCCGACCTTGTGCCAGCCGCGCCGTACCCTCTCCTCCTATAAGGAGCAGACTGCCAGAGTCATACTCACTCATCAGTATTTGGTCCTCAACCGGATAAACACACAGAGACGAGCCATCGGAGGCGCCAACACCAGAGCTTTGTTCAGAGGCCATCACAGCAAGCCATCACAGCAAGGCTAAGCAGGAAGGCCAGAGCAACAGAGCAGGAGCCAAGAGAGAGCACGTGATCCGACCACGTTCCGTCCTTAAGTACCTACTTAGCCCCTCCTCCCCAGCCCGCTACTAGCCAATGATTGTAGGGTCAGATACCGGAAGGGGCTGTCTGAGTTTAGCACACCAAGGGGGAGGGAGTGACGTAGGAGGCTAGGACCGGATACAGGAAGGAGGCGTCTGGGATTAGTGCATAGACAGAGTACGTGACCTAGGAAGTCAGGAGGGAGGCATCTGGGGTCAGTGCTACACAAAGGGACCCAGGAAGTCAGGAAGGTCACAGGAAGGAGGCGTCTGGGGTTGATGTTGCATATAGGGAGGGGACTAAGAAAAGGGAATTCGTCCTCTGCCATCCCACTCCCACGTGGCACCGCCCCTTGCCTCAGGAGCACAAGCTCCGGCTACTTCCCTGCACCCAGCTTATCTCACATAGCACTGCCCACTGCCTCAGGGCTTCTCCGTACCCAGCCCATCCCAGTTCACCACGACTCCATCTACCACAGCCCCTGCCTCGACTTCCAAACACCCAGATCTTACCCTAATCTTGCCACAGCGCTCACTTGGTAGTTGCCAATATCAGACAGTCCCTCACACTAAATAGTTACCTTCTAAATCAGATTAAAGCCTGAAAAATGCTATGATAAATTCTGGTTCTTCTACTTACTAAGTTACCTAAATGACCTTAACTTTTCCCATCAGTAAAATGGGGAAAACGATACCTGTACTACCTATATCACAGACTATCATGATAAACAAATGAGGCAATTTACATACGTAAGACATTCTCTAAATGGTAGCTTAGTCATATTATATATATGTGATTCAGACAGTATGAAATTTTAAACTAAATCTTGATCTTAAAGAAATAAAATATGTAATGATCTATGTACTAATTCTCTGGCTCTTAAGTATCTTATGCTAACATTTCTGAAATATTTGTCACTGAAATTATCACAAACAGTGCCAATTTACCTATTGCTTAGAATATGGATTACTGTAATTGCTTCTTGCTTATTGTATCAAAATATTTTTGATATAACTGACACTTCATGGTACAGATGAAAACTCTATTTTTAAGTCCTCTTCCTAAGTTTTTATTCATGTTTATATAAGTGTACAATAGGTCTTATTGTGCCATACTTTTAGTGAAAGTATTCCATTTAAAAATTATTCCTTCAAAGGCTGGATGAACCTGCCAGGAATGTTGTTGAAGTTTTTGCCTACAGGATGAAATGTGGAATTTTGGACTATATTATCTTTAAGATTCCTTCCAAATATAAGATTATATTCAATCAAGGTGGTTCAATCATACTGATAGATATGATGAATTAATTTATTAAAAAATCAGTAGAATCATCCAGTCAGTCAATAAGCACTTATTAAATTCTTATTATGTGCTATACACTATGTGCTGGATATACAAAGAAAGGCAAAACAGTTCCTGCTTTCAAGAAGCTTGGAGGAGACAACATATAAATAGGTAGGTACATACAAGATACATACAAAGTATATGAAAGCTACCTTAGTGGGGAAGGCTTAGTAATTTGACATTGTGTAAGTAGCTATGAAATTCTGTAGTCATAAATTCAGAGCAGAAGATCCCACTGGAAAATTTATACAATACCTTAAGCAATAAAAAATCCTAGAGTATACTGTAGTCTAGTGGCTCTGGAGTCAAAGGGCCTGAGTTTAAATGCCTCTGATGCTTACTACCTCTGTGACTACTGGAAAGTCACTTAACTTTCCTGAATGTCAGTTTGCTCATCTGTAAAATGATGGGATTGAAACATATGATCTCTGAAGTATCTTCCAGCCCTAGATCTGTGCTCCTATGAATTCATTCTTGAAGGCTATGAATACTATAAATTCAGAAGAATTGTTATGATATAAAGATTCTCCCCGCCCCCCTTTTATTTTTGCTGGCTGTCCTCTGAGCGTGGAACATTCTTCCCCATCATCTTTACTTCCTAACTACCTTGACTTTCTTCAAATCTCAGTTAGTCTTACTTTCTGCAAGCTTTTCCCATTTCTCCTTAAACTTAGTGCCTTCTTCACTCTGTTGATTATATCCACTTTCTCCTTGGTTGGTTGCTGTCCTTCATTCTTGAAGAGGACCAAAATTACACAGCTATGTTGCAGTCAATGTACAGTGTGTCCCATTGTGTTTGATCAGAACAATATAAGCTTGGAAGGCTCTACATATGTCTCCTATATATACCTTGTTTGTACATAGTTGTTTGTATACTGTCTCTCCCCTTAAACTATGGGTTCCTTCAAAGCAGGGACTTTTTTTTTTTTTTGCCTTTCTTTGCCTTTTCTTTTATTTCTTTCTAAATGTGCTAATGCTTGACATGGTGCCTGGGCATATAGTTGGCACTATAAATACTAGCTAACTGACTGTCTGAACATGACAAGAACTTTAGAGCAACACT